CATTGTGGAACAAAAAACAAAAATAATACATAAAATGACATTGAACTTTTACATAGAAGTGACGAGAATGCCGCATTAAATTAGTAAAGCTCACATTCGTTCCACACGCAGTTCAAGAAGACTTGAGCTGTTGACTACGACTCCAAGCTCTCATGCCCATGGCAAGGAGAAAAGTTAAAGGAATTAAGTATAGGATTAATAAACAAATCCTATTTTTATGTTTTCCTAATTGAATTCAATCAAGCAAGTAATCACAATCAAACTGAATCAAGGATTCCACAAGATAATTCCAAGATATTGTTTATTCAATAATATCTTTGAGATGATTCTTTCCTACTCCATCATACGGATAACATACCTTGGCCATTTAGCTGATGACACATGGATCGAGATCTATCTCCTCCATGGCCAACCCTAGCTCTATAAATACCTTATTTCTCCATCAAATTTTGGTAAGCTTTTACTATGTAACAAAGCCCTAAACTCTTTCTTTTCAGAGAAATTGACTTAAGCATCGGAGTTCCATTGGCCAACCCCCTCCCACTCCTTAGGCGCATGGCTTTGTTTATTTGTTTTGTAGCCACAAATAAAAATAATAATAAAAGTTTTACTAAAAATAATTAGCATATAAAAAGATTAGTTAAAATAAGGATATTTTAGTAATCATATTGATTTTATTCCGAATTTATGTGTGTTTGTAAATAGTTTATATGAATCAATAACATTCATACTCCGATTCTAGACAATTTTAATTTAACAGGAATTTGATTTTGATTCCACTCCGTTCCATCCTCTCAATTCAATTCCTCTCAAACTAATTACGAAGTAAACGAGGCATTAATGTTTTGTGTTGTCCGCTTTGTGGGTTGTATCTCTTCGACGAGAAGTTGTGCTCACTTCAAGGGGTTGATGTGGCCTTGCTATTTTAGAGATTGGCTTTGTGTGGGCATTGGTTGTTAGCGTGTCATGGCTATCATCTTCATGTGAATTTGTACTGTTGCCTCTAGTTGTTGTGGTGGCCGTGTGGGGGGTTTGCCCTTATTATTTGTTATGTAATATCCTTTCCGTATCAAGAAATTGATCATTAGACAAATTGTACTTATTTGGTACCATATTGTACCAGTTAAATTCTTATTAATAAAATCTCTCTCTCGCTTTGAGTATAAAAAATCAAGCATTAAAATAAAATAAAAAAGTAGATATAAAGAGTAGACATGCATAACTTATAACAAGAGACTTATTGTACTAGTTAAGTTCTTATTAATGAAATCTTTCCATCGCTTTGAGTATAAATTAAAAATAAAAATAAAAATATAGTTATAAAGAGTAGCCATGCATAATTTATATAATAAGAGGCAAATTATGCATGAGGTAGCTTTTGCAAGTTGAGGAGTGTCACAAAAGCATAGAACACACCAAATAAAAAAGAAAGTGGTGGGGAAGAGCCTGTATATATATTCGTATTCCTACAAGTCAAGTTTGAAACCACATCAGCTAAAGAAACCAATTCATTAGTTGCTTGCCCTTTACTTTTCTCTTTCGTCAAGTGGACAAACTTGCATCAACACATTGTACCACCAAAATCAGAAAGCAGAGACTAGAGTGCTATCGAAACATCCATCAATTTGCACTCCTTTTTGGTCGGCCTCCATGTCCCAGCATGACTTATTCCAATCAGCAGATGTTTCCTCTCCTATCAACTCATCCTCTTTGCCCATGTGTGTCGCACGGAGCTATAAACCTAGCCTCGATCAAAAGGTATAATTGTTTTGTATTTCTACTATGAATATATAGTAGGGTACATACATACATATATATATATATATATTATGATATAAATGTACACGTACGTACGCATTCCAATTATTTGTATGTGTAATTTTTACCAATAGCAATCCACAGAAAGATAAAAGTTATATCTGGGCTTTTTTTAATATTTAATAACTCTACAATCAAGATAAGTTTAACATATAGGGCGAAGGATATAGTTGCAAACAAATCCTTATAGCCAGTTTGGCTAAACAAATTAAAGAGTGTATCTATTATCAAGCTACGAACGACAACGAACCAAGACATTTCTGTAGACATATTCCACCTAAATGCCACAGGCTGCAATCAGCAGTGACAAAGAATGACATCACTAAATGAAAACAAAAATGGACTACAAGCTAGCCTAATGTCGCTTATTATATACAAGTAACGTACTCAATATGAAGGAGCTGCCGAAGGATTTTCCAGTAGCCTAACTAGCTAGTAAGTACATGCAAAGTACCTTCTTTTTCTTATGTATGATTCATGTTCTCAACAGGTGCGTGTACGACATAGTGCAAGCTCAAGATAATCTACATGTAAAGTACCCTAGGGTTCGTTTCTTGACCATTTAGATTTCAGTTTTTTACTGAATGGAGGAAAAATGCGCATGAAAAAGAAGAGGGTGTAGTGAATCAATATTTCAGTATAACTCTATCCCATCGTCCGGGCACCACATACGAGATTCTGATTTAGAAATATTTCAAAGGGAAGAATCAATAAGTAGTAAAAGGCAGGTCCGGACTCAGGGAACTGTGGAGCTAATTTGTGACTTATGTTTAGTTTGTTGCAATGGCAGAATCAATAATTAGCAAACGTCTCAGGAGGCACTTGATCAATGATGCTACTTCGCATGCCGTTGCTTCACAATTGACGTAGTGAATTATGTTTGTTTTGTTGACCAAATAAAAAAGATAATGATGTTTATTTTAGTCTACAAACAACATTCTTAATAAACCCTAATTATTCAACGATACACACTGCATGCATATGGATTTTCCAGGGGCATACAGGTCAGGTTGAAACCAAACTCTCTCTCTCTCTCTCTCACATATATATATATATATATGCAGGCCAGCCGATATATAATACAATGATACATGCCTTTTTTTAGTCTGTTTCTTTTACCTTAAGTGACGCAACAAAAAAAGGTATGAGAACTCAGAACGTCCACCTTGGTCAGAAACAAGCACTCACTTCCTGTGCTTTTCTTTTTCTTCTCTGAGGAGTCCATTTCCCAAGCATTCTCTCTCTCTCTCTCTCTCTCTCTCTGTCTCCCTGACTCTCTCTAACTATAAATCCATGAGAGCACGCCCAATGATGTTGTCCCTGAGAAAAAAAATTAATTGCTTAAAAGGGAGCTCCATGCTTGACTTCAACTCAAGTAAGAGAAGATCAGTTAGTTAGCTAGGTCAATATATATTCCATATAGCAACCATATATACTTTTATATCTACATATATATTCATTCTTGTTACTATGTCCCAATCTATCACTCATTATTCCGTGGTATTTACACCCCTCACGTCCCACACCGGGTAAAATTTGAAATGAACAGAGCCGGTCCGTCAAATCTACATCTGCAAGACTTGTTGCTCAACCTGCTGCTGGCTGGCTGGGAAGCTGAGGCGGGAGATTATCCATACCTAAATTTATAAGCACAGTTCTGCTGCATGCATGTTTGAAACTTTTCTGGTACTGCGGGAACCACACTTGTTCAAGAACAGCTTCTGCTGCTCGATCGATCGAGTCATCTTTTTGCAAGGTATGCCAAGTAGAAAATTTCTTTTTGTTATGCATGACATGCAAATTCTAATTATAACCTTATTAGTCACTGCAACATATTTGTAATACTTTTTATGTGTAGCTTTACTTTTCTTCTATATATATCAGTATTTCCTTGGAGGTTTGCCGCCAAAGATCAATTGACCGTTGCACATATATCGTCTTGCATAGCACCAATGGCACCATCTTCTATACTGTCTAGTAACTGCAACTCTTCCAAATGTGTACTACAACCAGAAAGGAAACCACAAATGCGCGCAGTTTTTATTATCTATTCCAAAACCATAGCATTGAGAAGGGAGAGCCATTGGCGATTGTAAGAGTAGTTCGCCAGGAAAGGTTAGTGCGTACGACTACGATACCAATACATAAAGTGAAAGATCCAAAAAGATTTCTCTTCAAGACTTTCTTATTCGACCTACCAAATGGAAGAATAAAACGGCTCACTAGAAGGCTTTCAATACAAAGCCTCTCAGTCCCATTAAATAAGTGATAACCAGTTAGTAACAATATTGCGCTAAACGATTGTTTAGGCCTACTCTTTATATATTATATGATCTGAACCGTTAATTATTTAGGTTCTCATTGATACATCTCCTGTGAAATGTAACTCAAATTGTAAAATCGTTAGCTTATATATTAACGATATATCCTGATTTAAAAGTGTACAAAGTATTGACTCATTTAACATATATAGCCTAACAGACTATAGTACCAAATTAAATCCATCAATCATGCGTGGTCTAAATCTATAGCTGCTGACTTGTGCTGCTGAGAGGGCTGTGAAAGATCTTTCAGCTGTGTGCATATGACGTCCCAAATCACTCTGCTTTTTCACCACCTCCCTTCCACATGCGTGCATGACAAGTACTAAATCAACACACAGAACTCACCGGACAGCTAGCTTCTGGTTATGGTCATCCTTTTATTTTCTCTTTTAATTGCACAAAATATACAACAGCTTCCAACTGGCCTTGCTAAAATACAATTCGAGAAGCATTTCCAATCAATAAATGTCACAAATAATTAAGTCATCTAGTATGAAACAGTAAAAAATTGCATAACAACCTGTAAATTGGTATCATGCACTAAACAATGTTTCGTACCTTCACTGTAAAGTGGTACACATTCAACTTCAACACATACAGTCATGCTAGCTGCATATATATATACTCATGATCACAATTAACACATGCTGCGACTTTATGTACAATATATCAGATCGAGTATACAATAATAAAGGAATTTTACTCACTAAAGTACCCTTTGAATTAGTCACGGGAAATAAGGCAAAATGCATTCAACAAATATTGCAGTCCCGTACTACGTATATAGTAGTCTTGACTACGTTATTTTGTAATTAATCATATAATTGGTCCACCTAGTTGCCCTAGTATATATTCATCAACACAAAAAGTCACAAATTTAAAGTCGAATAGGTAAAAATAATACCATAATTGTGTTTTCTTATGTACAGCAACTGGATTAATAATACTCAAATATCGATCCCTTTAAAGTGCTGTACCTCCTACGATTAATTAGTATTATGTATTGGCTAGTAGTTACTGTAATATTCATGTTCTTGATCATTTCCAGAGATCAATTTGGAAAGTAGAGGTTGATGTTGAGGCATAGTCCTGTCCAATGTTATTATTATTGTCTGGCCTTCTGGAAGCGTCATTGGCAAGCATATTAATGTGTTCAGCCACATGAAATATTTCCTCTGCATGAGAGTAATTTGTTACTTCCTTGGAAGCATCTTGCTGGTCATGGCTGAGCTGTGACGCAACATACTTGTCAAGGGCTCGCCAATCCTTCACTTGATCAACAGCTTGCAGATAATCATTGTTGTTGTCAAGCGCATGTACTGATGGCGACGACGATGATTTGAACAGATTTTGCTGGGAGATGTATTGCGCAAATTGCTCCTCTTGTGTGAGTGTGGAAGACTGCATAACACAATTACCATATGGGGTAGCTGACTGATGAGGAACTTTGGGGCTTTCCAATTGAGGGAGCTGGAGAAAAGAGTCATGATGATGATGTGGCATGTTATACAGCAAATCAAACTCTTGCTTGCATTGTGAATAGTGTAGCTGCTGCTCATTTTGTGATGCATAAGTGCGGGACATTGATGTCCTTGGAGGGTTATCAAGTTGTGGCAGGAATGAGACTTGATCATAGCAATCTGGTGACTCGTAATCTCCCATTCTGCTCACGGCTGCCAACTTTTTCTTGAATACCCTACACACAACCCATCCTTCTTCCTGCACGGTACAATCATAACAATATTTGATGTTAGAAATTTCACTTTTAAGGTATAGAAACATACCTATTGTGGAGGCGCACAAATTCATCAATCTTGTGTTCGGTCAAAAAAGTACAGCGCGTACATGGTATGGGCGGCAACAAACCAATACTTGATTGTCTTGCTTAAATTCTAGATATGCATGGAAAGAATATGCAAAAGCTTGAAATATTAATGTCAGTAACCTAGTAGTAATCGATACGCTTAGCTTTGATACCATGTTCTATACCATTAAAAACAAAAGTTTTTCGATGGAGAGAGTCAATATGTGTGTGTGTGTGTGTGTGTGTGTGTATAGGCAATTAGCACAATCGATGTGGAACTAATGCTCAGCATGTAACATGTAATAAGCTCATAGCTTAAAACAAAAAAACAAAAATTAGTATATACTTGCCTGAGGAGTTCCATTTTCATTAGTTTCTAGTCGATATTCATGCATGATCCAATCTGACTTCTGTCCATTTGGAGCACGGCCTTTGTAAAAGACTAAGGTTTTTCTCATCCCAACGAGGAATTTTTCTCCTCTATAAATAGCCTTATCTCTTCCTGTAGCTTTCCAAAACCCGGCTTTCGTTGCCCTATTTGTACGACTTCCAGTAGGGTACTTCTTATCTTTGTGGCTAAAGAAGTACCATTCATTCTGATCACCACTTCCTATCTTGCACAAGTCTGTCCAATTCAACATTATAATGGTGAACATGATCAGAAGATAATCAGATGAGCTTGCTTATTATAACCAAACCATGAATTAATTAGTAAGTACCTTCAAGATCCCACGGCTCAATCTTATAAAGATCAACATCTCTGATGACATCAAAATCAATCGGTTTCAAAGCAATCTTCTTTCTGAGATAATAATCAACAAGTTCTTCATCTGTGGGACGGAATCGAAAGCCTGGGGGTACATGTGATGAAAGTGTATTCATATTCTTCACCTGCGGATAATAATGAAAAACCTGCATTATAATTTCAAATATGAACACATTCAGGCCAATAAAAAAAAACATGAACAAATAATAAGCAATATGATTAAGGTATATTACAAATTCTTTCTCCTGGTTGTGAGAGGATTATGTGCGAAGGTGAGAGAAGACTGTACTTTTACTGACTTTAAGAATGTGGTTAACATATCTAACCTTCTAATGCAGTAAGTTCATATCAATAGAGAAAGATACACACACACAGAGATAATAGATGATTAATATTCTCGTGCACGACGAGTAATTTGGATGTTGTTTATAAAAAGAATAATATTACACAAATACATGTAGCGCAAAAATAACGTACCAAATTGTTTAGTTACAGAACAATATTTTAGTATAACTGTAAATACATGAGGACATATGCAGCTGCAAAGTTTTTTTTTTTTTTTTTATTTTTTTATTTTTTTTCAAATAACATATGCACCATATCATCCAAGAAAAACAAAACAGCATCCCGTAGCGGGCATGAAGGGTAGGAACCTGAGAATCGCAACTACTTTCAGTATACCTTGTTGATACTTACAATGGAGTATTCCATGAAGAAGCCTTCTATTATCTATAGATGGTTCCACAGAAAACAAAAAACGGAGAAAACACTATGTTTCAATGATTAAGAAAATGTTATGTCGATCGAAAGGCTAAAACATATAGCATATATATGTGTATATAAACCTAGAAAATTGACAAAAAAATAATATATATATCTTAAGCTAGAGAAGAACCCTAGGGGCTAAGAATTCTGACAAAAAAAAAAAGGAAAATAAAAAAGAAATCTAAAACTTACCAAATTAGAGAAAATCATCCTATAAAACCTCCCCTCCTGAGTAGATATTTTTTAAAATTCTTTCTAGAACTTATTGAAAATACCCAAACTTTCCAAGAATGAGCCTATGGGAGATTATGGGAAATCAGTTGGCGAATTAATTATAGAGGAGTACGAATTTCATAGCCCAAAATATTTCCATTAACAATTGATTTACTATTACTTAATCTGTGGTGCTATCTTTCATTTTACCGATTATACAAAATGCATATATGTCCATCAAACTATAGGTGACAACTATAGAAAGCAGGAGTTTGACATTGGCATGCAAGAAGAATTTAAACAAGATGACCGACGTGTAGCAGTTGGACTGGAACTATGTATGTACAATAGTAACATTCGTTCAAGGTATTAGCTTTTTAATCTTGTATAAATGTGTAATTATATACTAACATTAGGGATGTGAAAACTTTTAACCTATGTATAAATCGAATATTGTTTAATATAGAAGAAACAGAAAAGAAAAGGGTTTCTCTTGTATCAAGCATGGTGACCACTACTGAGGCATCTTTCACTTTAAGTTTATAACATAAGGATTGATGTTTGTGAGACTGAAAAATATGGCCACAAAATTTGCCAAGAAAAAAAATGTATGACAAAAAGTTGACTTTAGATTCAAGTACTTAAACTAAGAAGATGGGAACGAAAGGTATAATCATATTTAAAGTTAAACAAACACAAAATGTTTTGTCTACACCACAAGAAACTATCATTTTTTTGTTCAATCGATCGGGTCAGCTCATAAAAAGGAATAACTAAAATCAAAAAGGAAAAATAAAAAGGAACACCCAAACACACACACACACATATATGAGAGATGTGTATTAATTATGCACAAAATAGCTCCTTGTGAGAATTGGAAGATATATATTCAAACTATAATCCATGTAACACATTTTTGTAGTAATAAAAAACGATAACAAAAAGAAGCCAATGCAAGTTATCAGATAACCAGAAACAAAATGATTATACATGTAGGACTCGTCTTAATGATTTTGTTTTTCGTGTAACCATATGGTAATGACATGTTCTGGAGAGTATAGATCCATGTGGTAAAAAGACATGAAAACTCCATCAAGTTGATAAAGAAGAAGACATTTTGATCACTCGGGTAAACCCAAAATTGAAAGGTAATTACTAATCAAAGGAGACTAGTGTTTTTCCACATGTGATAATATTTTGCCAAATTATATATCAGCTATATGTAAAAAAATGAAGCGCACACACCACAAAAACTGGAAAAAAACCAGATCGATTTATGCCATTCCATAATAGAGAAACATGATCGCACCTATTTTGAACTATAGACATATACCATATATATTTTGAACGAACTTAAGTTTGCCAAATATTTGACTAAGCCAAGCTAATATTTCATTTGCTTTAATACCAAAGAATTCAGGATCATTTCAATACATTCACGAGCAGTGACCGTACGATGAATCGAAACCATTACAACAAATAAAATAAATCAAACCCAAAAGAGAAACAAAAGAAGAAGAAGATGATGGTGAAGAAAAATGAGGAGGTGAGAGGAAGAGGTGACAACCTTGGTAATCTTGACAACACCCTATGGAAGTTAAAATTGCTGCATACAGATCTGGTTGATGAACCATAAACCTTTTATCCAATCACCAATCAGCTTTAGAGAGAAGGGGACAAGACAAGAAGAAGCAGGGGCTATTTTTCGTCACTCTTTTTTAACTTTTGTTAGTGAAAGAAAAATACCACTAGCAGACACAAAAAAAGAAGCACAGAAAGAAAGGAACGGCAGTCAACAAACAAACAAACAAGAAATTAACAAAGCAAATCCCCGGGAATTGAACTTACTAATCTCCCCCCTTCAAACAATTGTTTGTACTAGTCCCAGAGAGAGAGAGAGATCAGATCCCGAGGAAGGGAAAATAGGGAAATGAAAGGGAAAGGGAAAGGTGGAGGGTAGCCAGGAATGGAAATTCAGAGAAGAAGTGGAGTTAAATAAGAAGCAAGGCAAAACAAACGAACAAAATATATATTAACAAAACACATGCCCTAATATTATATATCCCTCTCCTGAAATACATTCTCTCTCTCTCTCTCTCTCTCTCTCTCTCTCTCTCTCTCTCTTTCCCCCCTTATCCTTCCAGAGTGTGTCTGTATGGGATGGGTGGATGGCTTGATTGCTGCAAAAGCTTTGCCCGAAAAAAAGGGGAGGCGCTCAAATGGCTCAAGAAAGTGAATGAAATCAATCAATGAATATTTAGAGAGAGAGAGAGAGAGAGAGAGAGAGAGAGAGAGAGAGAGAGAGGGAAGGGGGTAACCTCCAGAGAGCTTGCCACCCACCAGTGATGGAGACCAGAAGAGAAATTAAAGTTGAACTTCTTTGAGGTTGTCGATCCTATCTATGTGAGAGTGAAAGAAGATTGGACGGTGCGGATTGGATGATGTCTTAACCTTGTACCTTGAAGGGCAAAATAACAAAAGGGTTTAATTAATAGTGTCTTACAGAAATTAATTGACTATTTGTAATACTGTACGATGACGATGATTGATGATATAAATATATATGTGGAGATATTTGTAATTAGGGTAAGGATATTTTTGGTGGTGACCCCTCTTACCCTCCATGCCTAAGGACGAGGCTGTGGTGAACATTCTCCCGCCACAATGTAACACCCCTTGATATGCACGTCCTGTTTAATCATGATACCAAAGTTTATGGCTTTCTAGATGATTACTATTTGTCTCATAAACCTTATTAAAAAAGTGATAAACTTTTCCTAACTTCTAAGTGAGAAAAATTATACTGTACACACACACATTTTAGCCTTAATTATCTCATCATATATTAAGAAATTTAGCTTATCAATCCAAATGTGTACCTGTTCTGTTGGGTTTGTGAAAAAAAAATTAATAAAATTAAAAATATCATTCATCCCATATGTGATATGTGATTACATTCTCCGTTATCAAATTAAGCTTTTGTTAGTCGGATTTAATCAGAAAGAGAAAAGTATATATATATATATATATATATATCATTATTAGAACATGCATGCTTGTCAAACGACTTAAAATCGATCCAATTACTAACTGAAATTAAAGGTTTCTGAACATGTACGCATGATAAATATTTTACTTATAAGAATTACCTCAATATATTATAACAAAATTCAAGTTCATGAATTATTTATTACTTGAACGCAATTTCGAAGAGAAACTCTCATGTAATCAAAGGCACCATATGGCAAACATGCATTAGATGAGAGATGCACTTGTCGAATATGTGGCAACAATGTATTAGAAGTATGACATTATTTTAATGAAATTATATTTTTAGACCATATTTTGTAGACCGGATGATTGATGGTTTGAATTTTTTCTTTAAATGATTAAAAAAAGACTAATAATCAACCACCACATCATAGTGTTTACAAAATATCGTTCAAATAGATAATCTTTCTAAAATTGCCTAGCATTCTTACATAGATATTCTCCATACTTACAGAGATATTCACAATATTTCTCCTATTTACAGTTTAATTTGTCAAAATATTTTTTTTTCTCACTGACAACAGTGTTTAACACTTTCCTCAGCAACCATCTCCAAAACCCCAGAGACCCGCATTCCAAATCCTCAAAACAAGCAAAACCCAGGGCATCCCGTTACAAAAGAATAAATAAAAAATTTCATCCAAAGAGTGCAATTTATTAATACAATAGTTCTAGAAAGAAACTTTTTTAAGATCTGGAAAAAGAATTAATACAAAACCAATAAAATATTTTCGTATGAGATGTGTTATCTACACATCTTTTTTTACTTTTCACACATCCCTTCTTAATTTATGTCCGTTAATCTTCTTCAATTTATCCGATCTAACGGCTGAAAACAAAAAAAAACTAAAAAAGTAAAAAATGATGTGAATATCACATTCCTTTCCTATTATCAATATCATATATTCACCAGCAACCGCACGCGGGCTCTGGTTGGCTGGTCCGCAATTGTTCTACTGCAATTGTTCTACTTTCTAGTATATTTTATTTCTCTACCCTCATAAGCTGGGCCCTATAGACGGACCGACCCTAGAGATTACGATGGCGACACCTCTCCATAAATGAGGAATATTAAATCAAATTAAAAAAACAGGCTCCAATCATTCGCTCAGCCGCCGCGCCGATGAATAACGAGCGAGGTGGCAGCGTTAGAGTTGATTCAGCTCGGATGTGTTTGTGTGTTTCTGTGCCAGTGGTGGTGGAAGGTGGGCCCCAACGAACGGAATGATTTCTTGGATTCAGTTCGTGGCGGCTGATGGTCCGGCATTGGCTAGCCCCACGATCATTAGGTTGAGCCTTGATATTCGTGTTGTGTTTCCTGTGTTAGTGTCATTTTTATGCCATATCTGATATTTGATAGATCATGTCGTTTAGTGCAACACTCGTTAAAATAAATAGGTAATATGATTTGACCCTAATTCAATACGCTAATATTAATGGGTAATATGACTCGACCTGTTACCTGTTAAAGAAAATATATTTTACACCAATAAATAATCAAATGAAAAACATAATACTAAATTAGTATATACATTCCACATTGTCACATAAAAATTTCTTCAAAACATAAAAACACATGGGAATTGTTATTAGCACTCTAAAAACCTCATTTGGCACTCCAAACTTTCTATAATTAGAAAGAAAAATACACTAATAAGGATTGTAGAATAAGATTTTTGTAGTGTTAGTAACAGTTATCAAACACATTTGTCTTTCAAGTATCACATAAATATTAATTAATGTAGAAGTGTGAAATTTTAAAAAATATATATATATATATATATATATATATATATAAACGCTCGTAATGACAAGCTTAACAACTTTCGTGAAAGGGCTCAACTTCGAAAGTCACCATTATAATCAAATAAACTATAGTTGAAATTTCACCGTTGATGTTTACATATAACATCCAGAGTTCTACCCTTAGTGAAAAGATTGCTTGAAGTTTATAAAGTCTCTAGAAACTATATAATATTGACTTATGTTTCAGTTCACCGTAAGTATTGGAACATGATATCAATGATTCGATCGTTCATTTTTCTACATCCACTAAAAGATGATGTTCCCAAAAAGAAAATTTGAAATTCGATAAGAAGAATAAAGTGTAAACATACGAGAATCGAGGGTTAAATATAAATCTAAGGGTTTGTCGATTATGGTGTCGAATTTTAGAGTTGACTCCTTCACGAAAGTTGTAAAGCTTGTCACTACGAGTGGTTGTGTGTGTGTGTATTTTTTTTTTTTTTTTACATTTTTCATACTTTTATAATAATTATTAATAATTTTGCACTCAAATATAAAAAAACCACTATTCATGAGGGTTTAAAGGGTTTTAAAAATGTAAACGACGATGTAACCATTGTTACGAATGGAGGATGCAATCATGAGCGTTTATATTTTCTTTCACATTTTTCACACTTGTACATTAATTATTATGAATTTTTATTTAATTTGAACCCCTAAAATACTATTCACGAGGGTTTGTAAGGCTTTAAAAATTCAAATGATGATGTCCCCATCTCAAAGCGTAGAGGATGCGATCACGAGCGTTAGCATATTAATTTTTTCACATTTTTTGCACTTGTAAATTAATTATTATAACTTTTAACATGTTTGGTATTTTTAAATTACTTTGATATTTTTATTTTTCGATGTGTTTTATAATGTTTTAATCAAACTTTTAAGAGGATAAAACACTTATGAGTATGACTGTATGAGAGAGTGTAAAAAACTTTGTTTGGTCGTTGACTCTAAAATTAAAAATCTATATTTTTGCCTATACAAATATTAAACTAGTTGGTTTGAATTTTGGACAACACATCAAGTAAAATTTATCTTAGTAATGATATTATAAAACTTAAATGTTTTTTTTTTAAACTTATTATCAAGGTTCTGAAAAACGTTAGGTGCTAGTCGGGCAGCAGGCTAGCGTCTAACGCCTAGGTGGCTAGCTAGCTAGGCGGGGTCTAGCCGAGCACTTAGGCGGATTTAGGTAAATTTCTTGTATAGCTTGTAAATAAATGCATATTGACATTTACAAAAAATTATATTTGTATAAAATCCATGGATAAGATTTAGTCTCTCTTAACGTTACCCATATACAACATATTTACTAGTGGAGAGGGTAACTATTTTTATTTTATTTTATTAATTATAAGTTGGTAGTGGGTAATTAATTGGAAACTGAAAACTGAAGTTGGGTAATTAATAGTGCAAAGTAGTGGACACCGGTCAAAGAGAGGGGATGGGTTATTGATGCATTGGAAAACACGAAGGCTTTTATCTTTTCCGTTTCCTCTTCCTCGCCTTCGATTCCTCCGCCCATCTTCTTATTCCTTTGTAAAATTTGCCTACTCCGTCCACCTTCTTTTTACCTTGTAAAATTTCCCAAAACCTCAAGCGCATTGAAGAAAACTGCATGCTTGGTTGAAGAAATCCCAACTGTCCAGGTCAATTTCTTGTTTATCCCTGCAATTGCAGATCTGTTATTCTAATTCTGCATCACTCTCTCTTCCCTCATGTTCTCTTGCTCTCTCTCTTCAATATTATGTGAACGCCTTTTCTTTTAGGTGATGATGTGAAACAACGATATGTATATATTTTTTTAACAGAACCGCGTAGCCCACTTTTTAGAACAGTGCTTATTATAGAATAGTAAACAATAATAAGCCTTTTTAGTGGTTTAACTTTAAAATCATCACAATGATTTTTGTGGATGCAACTTTCTTCCTCCTTGATCTTGGACAAAATTGCACCTACAAAACAAATCACATCTAAGGTCAAGGCCAAAAGCCTCATGCGCCCACGATGATTGCCCGCCGGGGGGGGGGGGGGCTAAATAGGAGAGTGGCCAGCCTCTTTGGATAAGAGAGGACTGACCACCTAGCTCCCTTTGTGGGCTAGGTTCTTGATTTGTGTTAAATTGGGAGTTATGGAAAAATTACCTAATCAATTAGCTAATTAATAGAATAATTACCTAATTGATTAGCTAATCAATATAACAAAAAATGGAAGATTTGGGAGTTTACCTTGTGGAGAAGATTGGATGAGGATGGATGAAATAGGTTTTGAATTGTTACATATTTTGGGCACTTTTGACTTGGTTGAGTGATGATTACCAACTGCTCGTGCGTAGGAATCCCGGTATGCCTC